GTGAAAAGATTTACACTTGCCTCCACAGCTTTGATTATTCCTTCAGATTTACTAGATTTTTCTTTCTAAAACACTGGTTAGTCCTTAAAAAATGGCAAAACTAACTAAACCTCCTATCCACATTTTGTTGAAGTAATAAATACATACTCATCTGTTGAATTACATTCTATTTTAAGTTGATTGTGTACACCATTCTAGTTATGGATAAAATCACAGCACCTTCACTAGTACTGGAAATTTTGCACCACTGTTCTGTGGTTTCATACCCACAAACAGGTCAGGTGATTTTCTGTAATTACCACAGCTTTGATTTATGGATTTTCTTTTTTTTTTTTTTTTGTGGAGCTCTTTAGTGTGTTTGTTTCAAACAAAGGAATGATACACAGCAAACAAGAGGAGTTCAAACTGCTATAGGCTATAATTTGGGAGATACACTTAAAATTAAATAAAAACCAAAGAACAAAAAAACAAACAAGAAAGCAAGCAAGAAATAAATACAAAAACCTCAAGCCATATTTGATCCTAAACTTGGAGTCTAACTCCTTTAAAAGGGGAGATGATCCGACTCCCTCAGTGGAGCTCTGGGCTGGCCCACAGGACCCACGGGTTCATGCCATCAAAGCTCATCTTTGTTTGAGATCTGAAACATCCTCCCCAACAGTCTGCAGTCACATTGCAAAATCCTGAGGGGAGGATGAAAGGCAGCCTCTCCTCCTCGCTTACACTCACCCCGGGGCCTGCAAACATCAGGACTTGATTTAACCAAACACACACTGGGGCAGAGAAAGGATGAGCAATCCCAGGACTGGACTGACACACACAAGAGTTCCTGGTTTTCCAAAGGAATGACTGGATCACCTCAGCCCCCAAGCAGATTGTGCCCAAATGAGGTATCCAGCCCCAAAGCATCTCCTGGCTGGCCACACTGACAGCACAGTGAGCAGAGTGTGCTGTCACACACCCCCCACCCAACAGACAGAAACTTCCCACTCCCAACACAAACATGTCCCAGGAGCTGAGTCCCTGGGGCCTTCCCCTGAAGACAGCTTATCTTTGCAGAGCTTCTGCCAGCAACAAGGGCTCCAGACCTTCCTGCTCACCCAGCTGAGCTCCTCTGCTGCATCTCCCTTCCAAAACATTGCCTGTCTCACTCTGTACCACACAAAGGCTGACCAAGGAAAACCTGCTGGCTCCCAAACAGGCTTCCTAAGCCTCCCACAAACCAAGAGTAGGATATTTGTTTCTAAATCTCCAAAGGAGGATTAGGCAGGGTGACCATAATCCTACCCAGCCTCACACCTGCCACTCATCTCTTAGGGAAGGAGAGATGCATTTCAGAATCTGGAAATTACTCTCAGATGAACCCCTTTGTCCAGGGATATCAGACCATAGTTGCCATCTCCCTTATTTCTTGGCTGCATAGGAAGAAAGTTTTCTTTCTGTGAGACAAAGAGTGGATATGATTGTTTATTTTAGTTCTGTTGACATCATTCTTTGTTGTCAGCACATCTCTCAATAACTGAGACTGATCTGAGGAAGGACTAGAGCAGTTAGCCATCTTCTGAAAATTTCTCCCTCCTTCTCCCTCTGTTTCAGTGCCCCAAACAAAAACTTAGGCCAGTGAGAAACTTTTTCATATAAGCTGCCAACCTGCTTTGATCATAAACCACATTTTACATGATGTTTACATATAAATCCTCTTGCAATGACGTCAGAGCCTCCCAATCCCATTTTAGCAGCCATTAAAGGGTAATGCTCAGAGAACCATTTCTCTTTATACTGTAGGAGTTTGAGCAGTGCTGTTATTACTTTTGAGGGGGAATTGTGCAGGCTCCTTGTCAATTGGTTTAGGTTGCCTAAATGAAGCCAAATTGCTCTCACCATCCCCAGCTGCTGCTGCTGCCTGCACGTTCCACCTTCCCCACAGCCACTTTAACCCGTCAGGCAAGAGCAAAACAGCCTTCCCTGGGTGCACCTCCTGCAAACAGGGCAGGGAAAAAACCACAGGAGGAAAAAAACACACATCACTTGCAGCATTTTTACATGTAATAGTAACAGTCTCTTGGTGCCATCATCAGCCATGGCATTTCATTCACACAGAACACTTGTGGGCACATCACATATGCTTTTCCATTCAATGTATTTTTAAATGTTTCCCAGGCAACTGTTTCAATACAATATGCCTCCTTGGCAACCTGGTACCCGCAAATGCCATGCTAGTCTCCCTAGTCCTCTTTTTAGGTCTTCCCATCTTGGCATATAAATGTCACAAGGCTGGGTTTTCCATCCCCAGCCACAGAGGTACTGATGTGTCCTCACACGTGGCAAGGGAGGGCTGAGCTGAAGGGATGAGGCGTGCACTGGACGCTGCACGTTGACAAATCCAGCTCTGGTGAGCTCCCAGAGGGAGCAGGTTTCAAAGGCAGTGACTCCTCATGGAAAAGAGAATGTCTCCTACAACTAAAATTAGGGAGAGCCTACAGAACTGTCTCCACTCAAGTGACTTGCTCTGGAAACAGCAATGAGCCTGCACTTCTCCAACTGAAACTGCACGTCATCCTCCTTCCCCTGACTGTGCCAGAGGAAGCCTTACAGAGTTTTCCTCATTCTGTGGCTGGAATTGTAATACATCACATTAATGAGGAGAGCCAGCCTTTCCCATTGCAGTGCAGACAGTGATTAGCACTGGACTAAGTGACTCTTCCCAGGGCTGCATTTGCTGGCACTGGGCTGTCAGGACACACACCATAAAGCCCATTTGCTGCAGCAGCTCTCCTGCTGCTCTGCTCTGCGGGCTGTGGTCTCTCTGGGGCTTTGTCCTTTATCACATTTAGCAGAATGGACACGCTCACCCTTGAGTGAAGTCACAGACTGCTTGACAAGGACAAAAAACGATCCACATGTACTCCTACCCCAAGCACTGATTAGATAAAATAATTAAAATATAATAACGTTTCAATTTTCTAGTAAGGCACAATTTATTCCAAACATCTTTGTCGGACCCAGGAGCTATCAGTACAGACCCAAAGATATTGCAGAAGGACTAAAGCTATCTGTGAGCATCAGTCACCACCAAAAAAAAAAAAGTTTTAATAAAACCTCCATGTGCTTCAGCCTCAAAGTGGTACATTAAAAAAAATAATAGCTCCTGCATGCAGTGACATCAGGCTCTGAGAGAAACCCAGCAGAAACTATGGTATCTCTTCTTCATTGATTACTCCATAACAACAGCTGAAAATCACAATTTTTCCAGGCTATAAAATGCCAAGCACTCCAAATTCTACACTGGCAGCAAAAATCTCCTCCCTGTCTGTGAGCTGCTGTATCTGTAATAGAGACCCTGCATTACCAGGCTTTCTAATTCTTCCCAAATGCAGAAGCTCTCATTCAATGCTGCAGCTGTTGGGGAGGAAATCAGAAATAGCAGAAGGCGGATTAGCTGATAATGTACCAGTTCTTCCCCAGCAAATGCTGGCACCTGCGTTTTACACTCTCCGCTTTCCCTCGGCCCAGGAAAAGATCACTTGGTTTGTTTGGCAGGCAATTTATAGGCTTTAGTGATTGTGGAGTTGCAAAAGGATTAGAATTTGTTATAACAGCCCCTTCTTCCTGAGAGCAAAAGTTAAAACTGAGGCCCACTTTAGAGCAAGAACCAGGGACCATGTAAGTAAAGATTAAGAGTGTGCAGCTTGATGAGACTCAACGGGGAAGAGATAACTGCACATGCTGGCACTCCATTTACAAGGAAATCCCTGCAGATAATCTGTAGGAGCATTCTGGCTTCCACAGGCTCAAATCCCTTGACCACTGGCTCAAATCCAGCCAAGGCTGATTATGGTAAAGACTACTCTCTGCATTCCTAGGAGAACTTTTTTCCTAAAACATTCTAATTATTAAATTATGCAAGACCCAAGGTCAAGCAAGAAGTAACAGGATTCCCATGTAGTGGAAGAAACAGCAGATACAACCTTATGCAAAGTGGCAAAACCAAGAACAGGTCCCAGTCTACACTTCTTATTCTTAGTATTCTTAATTCTGGAATGATGCAGATAAAAAATACTGAGTACCCTTAATGGTCAAAGATTTCTAGAATGCTAGTTGGGAATCCACAGGTAGAGCAAGAATGAGAACATTCATGGCATGCCTGCCCTCACAGGTTAGAATGGGTATGCATTAAACAGATAACAAAAAAAAAAAAATCTAACAATTTTTGGTTAAACCTACAAAATACAAACCCACCTACAAAGTACTGCTGCTACAGAAGCAAGGTTTTCCCTTTTGCTTTTTACAACCAGAAGCTGCAGTAATAATTTTCACTATTCTTTTTATTATATTCTTTCATTTGTGGCCCTTACTGCACAATAACCAACTTTTACATTCACCCATACTACAGCTTTTGGAAATGCTACAGAGCAGCACACAGCAACCCCTCCAGCCTGAAGAACAGGCTGCTCTCCTGAGGTATGGGAGAAGTCATACCTAACAACATCAACCTGTGGATGCAACACGAGGTTTAGGAGCAGAGCATTGTCACAGTGGTATCCCAGGGGTCATAAGATAAAAAAACAACTCAAACATCACAGGAATAAAAGCAGCCCTGTGGCACAACCAGTCATTAACACAGGTACACCTACAAGTGTGTTTGGAGGCTCCATCCAAGCGCTTTCGCTGCCCTCGGATTTCGTTAAATCCCCATTTCTGCATAGTTTGCTGCCTCCACGTGGCCACAGTCAGCGCTGGGCCACGATTCACAGCGATCTTGAGCAAAAACCCCCAAGGAACACTTCTTCAACTAGTTGTGAAATCAAATTTCTACCCCTCCTCTGTCTCATTTCCCACCACTCCCATGGCTGATCCCCTCTCCAATCTCCACTTTTGCTTTATTTACACACACCTCCTCTTGCTGTTTTTTGCTCCATCTCTGCTGCCATCACCTTCCTCTCCACAGCAGGCCCAACACCCTCAGATCCAAACTCACCCCTTGCCCCAGTTCAGCTTACCTGGTTCCACCTGCAGCTTCTGGGAGAATGCCTTTCCTGATAAATAAGGAGAGGAGGACATATTTCCTGGAATCTCACTGCACACACTGGGAAGCAGCTTCTAAATGGTGACAAAAATGACAGGCAGAACACTGTGACTGTCCTGGTGTTCCCTTGGCACTGCAGGAGCTGTAACAGATATTAAAGTGGGAAAATGTTAGTCTCTGTGACAGCAATTGGCTTTTCCACTGTCATTTCTTTCCTATTTTCATTGTCATTTTAGTCTACCCGTCACACAGCTGAAATGCTGGCACTCTACTGTGACTATTTGTTATTATTTTTATTTTTCAGCTGGGCTGTCTGTTGTACAAACTGACACAAATCCCAGCAGTAACCAAACACTTCCCACTTCCAACATCTTTATCCTCACTCTCACACAAAAAGGAAACCCATTAATGCTCCTATAGCGTTAAGAAATTAGTTATTACATAGAGTCAAAGATGTGATGGACTCACAGAAACACGAAGTACCTGAGTTAATATGGGAAAGGTGAAAGCTGGGCTGAGCCTCCTGGATCTCGGGCTGCACTGACGGGATCATCTGCAGCTGGAAAACCACTGGATGTGGTTTCCAATGCCTGGCTGGAGCTGTCCCTGCTCAGGTTGAATCCACCAGTCCAGGTGAAATGTGAATCTCGAACTCTGACACCCAAAATGCCACTTTCAAGGTTCAGATCTGCTCGAGGCGTGTTTTAAGTCAGGTCAGCTGTTAAAGGAATAATTTTTTGCTGGGCTGTGTGATCAACATGGTAATTCACAGGTGTGGCTTTAGCACAGTCAATAGTGATGCCTCCTGTTCGCTCTGAAGAATTCAAGGATGAAACAGTCCACAGACACCCAGCGGTGCACAAATTCAGTTGCAGAAAAGGAATGTGACCTTGGATTCATTTTTTTTACCAATAATAAATTGGTTTTATGGAAAAGAGGAGCACTTTGTACCCCGCTCTCCCTCATAAACACCTGTTATCAAATAGGACTTTTTATTACCTTGTACAGTTATTCTCATATAGACTGTGAAGAATTTAAACAGCAAAGTCACTTTGTGATCCCTTCATCTGCTGTTGGAGGACGAAGCGTGGGTCACCATTTCTCTGACGTGTGTTTGAGAAGGCCAGACGAGCGTTTAAACCCACCCCTAACACGCTCTTTATTTCGAGTCACCCAGCGACATTCCCGCCAGCAACGTCAAACTGCATCACTTCAGATTCTTTCCTGAAAGATAAGCTGGACCAGCGGTGGCTCCCAATCTTTATTATTTGTGTGAACAGCGGCGGCACCGGGCCCAGGCCGCGGCTCGGCGGGGCCATGGCGCCCAGCGCTGACCCCGCCGCCATCTTGTGCCCTCAGCGCCCGGGGCTGCAGCGCCCCGAGCCCCCGCTCCCGAGCGCACCAAACCGCTGCAAATACAGACAGCGAGAGGGGCAAAACCAACACAAAAAGGGCTGTTTCCGAGGCAGACCAGCCCCCACCTCCACGGCGATGGGGGGGGGGGGGGGGGGGCTGCGAGCGGACGGGAGGGCGCGCTCCCCTCAGGGCGCCCTCAGAGCCACCCCCGCCCCGCGCCGTCAGGGCGGCTCTGAGGGCGGAGAGCCGCGGCCGTGGCAGCGGGCCAGGAGGAGGGAGGAAGAGACCTCGCCGCCCGCAGCGCCGTCCCCCGGCGAGGCGCGGGGAGCCCCGGCCATGGGGGAGGAAGGAGCGGCCAAGCTGCGCCTGAAGCCCCGCGCGGCGCCGCCCGCCCGCGGCCCCGAGACAATCCCGCGCCGGCCGTGAGTCCGGGCCGGGGGGGATCGGACCGGGTCGGGTCAGCAAACACCGCGGGGATCGGATGGGATCGGCCCCAGGGGGATCGGCCCGGGTCGGGTCAGCAAACACCGCGGGGATCGGATGGGATCGGCCCTGGGGGGGTCGGACGGGATCGGATCGGCTGCGGGGCCTGGAGCGCCTCGCCCGGGCCGGGCCTGCACGGGCCCCCCCCGAGCCGCAGCGCTCAGATCAGGGACTCATTACTGACTGTGTTAAAGGTTATTGCATAAAACACCCCCTGTAGCGCCTTTAAAAAATAGACACAAAACTGCAGCATAAAGCACAGCGGGCCCCGGACCTGCAGACTGAAGGCGGTGAGGGGTTGGGTTCTTGTTTGAAGCCGTGTCCCCTCCACAGAGGCTGTGGGAGTTCATCACTCCGCTCTTTGAGGGCTCGTACTTTCTAATTTCTTCTAATTTCTTCCCCGTGCAGCTTCATTCCTGGACACTGATCCGAGAAAACACATCAGGAAGAAGTGGGAATGCTGGAAATAGCATTGTGACATTAACAATCCATCCTTCTCTTAGAATTGTCTTTCTGTGGCATTACTCATATAAAACCTTTTTAATGCTTGTAGTTAAACTTTCTAAAGCCTTCCTAGGATCCATTAAGTCGTTTGGAAAGAGAATTTCAAATGGCAGTAAGGGAATGGCCAGGAATATGTAGGAACCAGTGCAATTGTCACCCTCAGTGCAAACATTTCCATGATTTCTGTGCTCAGCAGGTGTCAAGTTCAGTATTTGAGAAAAAAAAACAGTATCTACACTTCACTGTTTCACTTGGAAGTGAAGACAGTAATAAATATCCACAGTTCATTTGTTACAAGGAGAAAAGAGGGTGTTTAGACAGTCATTTTTAAAAAAATTGGATTTTTTTTTTATTGCAGCGCAAGTTATATGAGTCTTAGGAAGCTGTGAAAATTAGTTTATGGGTTAAATAATGTCTTTGTGTTCCAGAAAAATAGAGGCAAACTAATACCAGTGCAGAGCATTTTCTTCCCTCTCTCCCACCCTCAAACTACTGCGCCTGTCTTTCCAGGACGTCGACTGACAGATCTCCCTGGTTTGAAAAGGAAGACTTAAATGAGCGTGAAAAAACCTGGGTTTTGTTACTGAAAGACATCAGTCAGGATCTGCACTGCACGAACTGGGACACAGTGCCCAGCCTTCCGGAGTTCTTGGAAAAGGTAGAGAGCTGTATCCTTGGTTTTTGCACTTTGTGTCCAGCAGTGGCAGCCCTGGATGATGAGGAAACCACCTGAAGGAGCCTTCAGAGCTGTGAGGTTTCAGCTCTTTAATCTCATGATGTGGCACAGCATGGCAAACCTTTCCAACATTTCCCTGGGAAGAGGGGGCCTGTGTAAGGGTGGTGACTGCCACGAGCACCAGGATCCTCCTGAGGAATGGGAGTGGGAAAGGCAGCCTGTAACAGAGGGTTAATGACACGTCAGGGTGGTTCCTGATGTAGTGTTGGGCAAGGTCACAATGCAGAAATCAGCCCTTACAAAGTACTTTTTGTTTTTGAGGTGGTTGTTTTTATCTTTAGTGTCTCTGAAACATACTGAGTCCCCACTGTATCCAGTTAGAAGTGTTAAGGGAAGACACATATTCCATCAGCTCCAGGAAGCTCTTGATTGCTTTACAGGTGCTGGAGAGGGATGTAAATAAAATGTTCTTTTCTTCAGTGTAGCTCGGCCTTCTCAGTCTTTGCAGTGTGTTCACTTTATGTGTTGATTGAGCTGCATCTGTTTGAGTCACGGTGTGTGTGCTGCAGGGTGCTGAGGAGGGGAGTCCAGCACACCAGGAAGTCTTCACAGCTGGAATGAGAGACTTTCCGTGGGTACCATTCCCACCTTTTCACACAGAACAATGTCTGAACCCCAAGGATTTCAGCTCCCAGAGCCACGAGTCACATACAGGATGGGGCCAAGTGGATAAACTTCCCAGTGTGTCACCCACAGCTGAGGAAACCTGCAGGGGAACCAGCACAGATCGAGGCAAAACTGCAGCTGGGGGAGGCACAAAAGGCATTCCCGACCTGGGAGTGAGTCCCGAGCCACGTCAGCTCCCTGGACACACGAGCTCTGCACAGCCCTTGGCACAGGGCTCTGGGAGAGCTCCCAGCCCTCGGCAGCACCAGGCAGGGGCTGCACAGAGCAGGGGAGGCAGGAGAGAGAAGGGTGGGAAGGAGCTCCAGCTGCAGGAGGGGAAGGTTCCAGCGGGGCAGGACAGAGCTGTGCCGGCAGAGGAGCCTCCTGGGAGCATTCCTGGGGCCGGGAGCTGCGAGGAGAAGGTGGAAAACCAGAGTGGAGGATCTTCAGCTCTTGACAGTTGTCCCATGTGCCTGATGCAGTTCACTGGAACGTAAGTTGCTTGGGGTTTTCTGTTTTGTGGGTGTTTTCATAACTTCCCAGTAAACAAACCCCCACCTGGCTCTGGATGCATTCCCCATTTACAAAATAATGAAAATAGACAAAACTTCTACTGCAAAGTTCTTCTTATCTGTCAGAATTACCTGCTTTAATCCAGTTCACAAACTGAGTACCTGCTCTGCAGCAGGAACTGGGCTGTCTCCTGCAGTCAGCACCATGGCACAGTGCTTAGGCTGTCAGAGTTGCCAAAAAAGTGCTTTTGGGCAGGTCCTCTAACCCTTAAAACCTTCAGCAGCAGGTACCAGCAAGGGCAGTTTCTCAGGGATCGCAGCTCTGCTGGGCACAGCAGTGACCCCCCACGAAGGACCCGTGTGACAGGGAGGGGAAAGAAGTGTCAGTAAAGGGCTGTGAGTGTTCCTCACTGCACCCACCCTGTCTCTGCAGGCTCTCCCAGCTGGACATCGATGGGCACCTGGCCAGGTGCTTGTCTGAAAGTGCAGATGACGTCATGTGGTAAATCCAGGAGAACGGAGGGCAAAGGAACAAGGCCAAGGATGAACCTTTCTCAAAGGAAAAGGGAAAATGTGTCAAGGAAGCAAATCCTCGGCTCACGCTTTCGGATCACAGACCAGTAACTCGGCAGAAGGCCAAGTGCCAAGGGTCTTTTTATTTTAAATGCACGCAAAGTAGTTCTAGTTCTGAAAATGGTGCTCTGGGGAGACCCCCAGGGAAATCAGGCTTGGTGCTCCTGAGAAAGTGTCCTGCTGGAAATCCCTGGAGCCCCTGCTGGGGCTGATGCACCAGAGCTCAGAAGCTCTCAGTGCAGAAGAGAGACAACTGTTACCCTCATCCAAAAGTTTACCTGCTTAGAAAAGAATGCCAGTAATCTGTGAAAATCAATTTAATTAAAAAGTCAGTTGAGCGTAGAATTTTTCATTATTTTACTAAGAAAGTGTAATTGTCCCATTGATTCTATGGGTGTGTCCCTGTTAAACACCCCCCAAACCACAGAAAGGGGGTGTGGGCTCCATGTCTCTGAAGGAGCCCAGCTGAATTCACACCCTTCTGGGTAGGTTTCTAAGTCAGTATCGGTGTTAATCAAGTGATTAACGTGACTGCTCTAATTAAGCTGCAGAGAGAACTCTTCTGCCCTCTCCTGAACTGCTCAGGGAGGTTCAGGCAGTGCTGGAGCCAAGAGCTGGTTTGTGTCAGTCCCACACAGCCCCGGACACCCCGGGGTGGCACAGGGGACACCCCGAGCCTGGGGGGCTGGAGGGGGCTCAGGAGGCTCAGCTGCTGTTCTGGGAACTGCTGAGCAGGAGCAGGGAAA